TCTCTCTCTCTCTCTCTCTCTATCTATCTATCTATCTATCTATCTATCTATCTATCTATCTATCTATCTATCTATCTTTCTCTCTCTCTCTCTCTCTCTCTCTCTCTCTCTCTCTCATGGTCCAATAACATCGCCTCGCCCCCACACCTCAGCCCCCCGCGACCGCTCTACAATCCCCGCAGCCCCGCGCGGTGTCCACTTTAACGTATCCCCGCGGTCGATCGCTCGGATAAACTTCCCTCCCCCCCGCACGGCAGCCCCGCGCTACCCACGGCTGGACCACGACTGGACCGCGCGTGTCCAGTTTCGCAGTCCCCTCGTTGTGATGCGCCGCGCTCCAGTCATAGTCCGCGCCACAGTCAGCGCAGTCCGCAGTCGCCTTGTCCTATCCGACGCCCTCCAGTCACACTCCGCGCTCCAGTCCCGCCGCCCGATTCCAGTTCGGCAACCGGTGCCGATTTTGACCTAGTCGGAAGCGCCACGCTGGGCCCTTTGTAGTCTTTAAGAGTATAGGGATTTTACGAAAAACAAATTACGCTTGGTGCTAGCGCACATGCTCTACTTTTATGCTACTTCTTTGCTTGGTGTGAGCGCATTTGTGCTACTTGTCTGTTGTCTCTAAAGTATTCTTGTACCATCATACTATGCGTACTATACACGTGAACAAGCCCAGGGATAACATGTTAGTGAAAGAGTGAGCATGGGAACCTTGATTGGTTGACTAACTACTACGGAAGAGGATCTCTCTGAGCAGAGTGTGCGGATGTTTCACGTACAACGTGGATCTCATGCCCGAGTATTTGAAGATGTCAACTGCAGATCGCGCGAAAAGCGTGGGAGCTATCGTGGAGAGGGTCGCGAATGTGAGGATCGTGATCGAGACGATCGACGTGAAGATGCTGATCGAGGCAAACGAAGACGACGCCTATCCACCTGCTACAATTGTCACGAGGTTGCCCACGATACCAACCAATGTTCGAGGCCAAGGCGATATGGGAGACAATCCAGACCATCAACGTCGACTGACTCCAGGAGGCCTCGATCGCCTCGAAGAAGTGAATGGAGGCGTGAACCTCCCGTACAACTGGACCTGGTTATCAAGCAACAGATCAGCGAGCTTGGCCAGAGTGTGGCCTACATGCGGAAACATTTCGAGGAGGAACGTGATAAACGTGAAGCTAAAGCACGCAGGAAGCTTGAGAAAGAGGAAGCTACGTGTCGGGAATTGGCGATGACGGAACAAGAAGAAGAGGAACGTCGCATTCATGAGATTAAGGCCCAGAAGAAGGAGAAAAGGAGACTTGAAGGAGAAAGTCGTGCCGAACTGAAGGAGTTGGGAATGCAGCTTACGATGCAAGTGAGTGAGATGGAGGACAAGTTCGTCCATCGTATGCGCCAAGTGGTGGCGGAGTTTCGGCCTGTTCCCTTCGACAAAGGGAAACGCGTGATGTATTCGGCAAATGACGATTATAGCGGCCAAGATAGTTATACAAGTGTTACTCAAGAGTCGAGCGAGCGAACAACCGAACTCCATATCACAGAGAAATGGAAGCGTGGACCTGAATGGGCAGTCGGCGATAGTCCTTCGATGAAATCCTCTGCAAAGCGGACACAACGGCAGGTAAACAGCCAGGTTGCCTTCACTGGGCGTATGACACGTGCACGGACTAAAGTGAACAAGTCTCATGGTTCGGCCAAGCGCAAGACTCCGCTCTCTAAACAGAAAGGACGCGCGACCTTGCTCACACCGGGTGTCTCTACACCGTGTGACAAGGGGGCTATAGCAAGGCATCGCTACTGCAACGCGGTTATGACGGACCGCCATTGGATGTCAGTGAGTTGCAAAGAATCTGTAAAGAGGAAGCCTCAGGAAGGTATTCCATATGAAGGTAAAGTTGATGCGATTTTCGACATTGTCGATAATCGTACGTACCTTAAATTTGGAGACGAGCATGTACCGTTGAATGTTGAGCCAATCCAGATCGAGGAATCTCTGACTGCCAAGGAGGTGACCGAGACGAAGGATGATAAGGTGGTATGAAGTGATGTACGAGTGCCTCACTTGTGGGTGTTGTGTAAATTTCTTACGCATGTGCGTTGTAATTTTTGTACAGTGGACTTTAGGATCGATGGACTGGTTCGTACATTAGTGCTTTTGCTTGCGTTGTGGGATGAAATTCGTTGGTTGAGAAAATTTGTACCCTGTTGGTTGAACCTATATGCACGACATGGGGTAAAATTCGTTAAGCTGAGCTGTTGTGTATATACTGAGGTGTTTCCATTTTCTAAGCACTTTTACATAGGAAAAACTACACACACTCTGGATATTCGCTGGGAGGAGCATCTGTATGTATGTCGTAAACGAAACCCTTCGCACTTTCACCAGTGGTTGAACTTGTTTGGTTCGGGGAAATATATCCTACTACCCATTGACATACTAGGGGGCAATAATTTGACCAAAATAGAGTCTGTCTATATCCATCATTTGTTTCAATTCTTGAACACCTCCGGGTGTAACAAGAACCTTCGGAAATCTGCACGTAGGAAGAAACAAGGTAAATGTGAACGTGCACGTGGTCGGAGGCAATTAATTGCAGGGGATATTGTTCCGCCCTTGACCTTGATTCAATACAAAATACACGGCTCTTCAAACTCAGATATAGATTTCAACAAACTGTTTGACCAGACGTTGACTAAGGGGATCTCAGGAATTAATGTTACTTCAGGAGCCTGACAGGAGGGTGTAATGTCTGGTTGCCAAATTGATATAAATTGATTAAAGTATTCAGGGAAACAAAACTGAGTTTCAACGAGTATCAAGTGTGCCTAAAAGATGGCCGAACTTTGATTGAGGATGGCCGAACTGTGATTTCTCATGTGAGCAAATGGAAACCACCTTGTAATTTTCTCAAGCGTCTATTGATCGGGATCCTAAAAAATCCCAGTAAGCTAAGTGAATTGCATTATTGGGGGATTAAAGCCTTTTTGCGCTTGTATAATGTGGTGGAAGATTTTTCATGCAAGTCCACTAGGAAATACCTATGCAGGTTGACTTCTCGTTGTTTTCTTGAATACTTTGGGCTCAGCCTTAATGCGGACCTAGTCTTTCGGATCAAATTTGATAAGTGCGTACGTATCAGTGAAGTTCGGAAACTCGCAAATGATGCTCTATTGGATTGACAGGATTGCGCACTACCGGTGTGTATCAAACACAGGATCAGGAAGAAGATGCGGATTGTAGGTACTAAGAACCTTACAGTTCGTGACACATTGCACAACATGCGCTGTCATTCGACGTGGACCGTGCTTACCTGCTGATGTGCAGGTTCGCTCTTCCAAAGGAACAGGGCCACGTAAACTTCCTTCTCTGTGATTTGATTGGGATATCACCATTACTAGGTAATGTGAATAACATACCATTAGCCCGTATGCAGGATCGACTAGCTCTGCTATGCGAAGAGTTGACCGTTGGTTTTCAAGGGTGGAAAAATCATCAGGGTGATCTATCGATTTTTTATCTACAAGGATTATAAAAATGTTTATCGACTCCGATGCTTCTTGTAGCACGACAAACCTCAGTTTGGATGGAGTAAAGGTAGGCTCGAAGGGCTGGTTATTACGTCTGTTGGCCGTAACTTAGGTGAGACGGCGTAAGGTTTTTGTGTTGAACTCGGGGTACTGTATTACTGAGTTTTCTCCGAATTGTATCATCCAGGAATTATCGGAGGAGGTGGATAAACTTGGTCTGACAAAATTCGTGAGCTTGGATATGAATAGAACGTTTGGGAATGCCGATGTACTTTCCAAACATAAAGATCTCGGTCGTTTCAAACCGATCTGCTCATCTTACGCTGATCCGTTGAGTCAGACCCGAACTGGTAAACTTGTTTTAAAAGGTCTCAACCATCTTTTGGCGACTATTCCTGAGCGATGGCATTTCACCTGTTGCGCGGTCTCTAACCTGGCTTCGAAACTTGAGATCGCCAATAAAATGATGGATAAGCTCGGCATTGACTGTACAGTCTCAACGTACACCTTTGATATTAAAGATATGTTTAGTAAACTGCGTCATGCTGAGATAGTTCGTGTCGTTGACTAGTTCCCAGTGGTTGGTTGACTTTCACCACCTTAAATTGAGAGGCTTTGTGCTAGTTAATACCCGTGGTAAGAGTGACAGCTTCAATTGGACGACTGGAGCATATCATTGGGCTACACTAGATCTGAGTGATATGAAGTTATTCATTCGAGTTGATATCTTTAATACAAACTTTTTTGCTACAAGAGTTTTCTTGAAACGGGTACTTAGCATCCCAATTGGAAAAAGCACCAGCCCACCTCTGACATGCGTGATGTGTGCGTTTGCAGAATACAAAGTTTACTTATTGGGAACCTGAACTTCCTGAAGGCATCTGCGAAATACATGTCTGGGATAAGATTGATGGATGATGTACTATTAACATTGAGTTGTAAAGATGAGATTACAAGAACCAAATTACTGGAAACATTAATGCAATGCTATCCCTGAAACCTGATTTTGGAACGGACTGATGATGGTTCTGGTAACTTGGACATTTTGGGTTGTAAGATCCGGACCAAAAAGGCACACCCTCGATTGGCTTGTGTGCAAGTCTCTAAAAACGGCAACTGTGCTTGGGGAAATGAGCCACCGATCTTAAAAAACGGACAATCTTTCAAATCTTTAGGATGTAAACGACAAAGAGTGTGGTTATCGGTAGTCACCTTCACCGGATTGAGCAGAACACAACGATCCATATTGAGATTCCATTGCGTGTTCTCACCTTGCAACATGAGTTATATAAAAAACTTAAAAAAAAATTTCCTACGCGATTTCTTTGAACGTGTACTACGACGTTTTTCCATTCATAAGGATGTTATATGGTCTTTGACTGTGAGATTCGTATGTAGTTAGTTTGATGTGATTTAATTTCACTCCCTTAGGTGTTCACTATGTTCTGCTGAATCGACGACCATAGGACTCAGTAGCCGTATGTTAGCGGCAATTTGCAGACGATCTTTAGCTACTTTAAGTGGTTACTACAAATGGTTGTAAGCTGCAAAATGCAGATGATCATGGGTTATTCTAAGCGGGTGCTGGAAAAATCGTTGTGTCGATGACTGCTACATCGTTGAATTTGTGAGGACAAGGTTTTGATTTGGCAACTAGGAGGTCTATTTTGCTGTTGTGTTTTTTTTCTCTTAGGCCCTTCTGTTAGTAATTTTGGAGTCTGCTTCTAGTATACCAGTGGACCATTTGTGGGTTCTAAGCCTACGCGGCCGGACTTTAGGTAGGACTATAATTTTTTCATTCGTGTTTCAATTTTTTCATACGTAGGTCTGAGTTACGTTCAAGATAGCGAGGGTTTTCCAATCATGGGCCGGGTAGCAGATTAACTTTATACTCGCGCCCAATGGCATATGTTTTTTGTCCCTATTGGGACCGACGGTTTACCATGTTGGGAGTTCGTCCTGTTGGGAGTAGGTTGTAGACCTTAGCATGATTTTGAGGAAGTCGTACCAGTTAGTAGTCGCATCACATACTATATTAGGAGTAACATCGATAGGTTAGTCCTCTTGGTGCGGCGCTGCCCTCGACACCGATGTCAGGACGACGGCCGAGAGCGCAACACCCGTCATTGGGATTGTGGGTTGTTTGGTGGAATATTGGGATTGTCGGTTGTTTGGTGGAAGGTTACTATTATGCTACTTCTTTGCTTGGTGTGAGCGCACATGCGCTACTTTGCTTGGTGTGAGCACACATGCGCAACTTGTTTGTTGTCTCTACAGTATTCTTGTACCATCATACTATACTATGAGCATTACATCCGAATTCCTTACCAAATTTAAAATAAAATTAAAATACCGAAAATAAATGGTAATAAAAAAAATAAGAAAAAAAAATAAAAAAATTAGAGAATTAAAATTAGTGAGTGCGCAAACCCGTTTTCACACCGCCATCTTTGATGATTTTTCATTTGTTTTTGGCAAATCCAAATGCCCTAAAATTTCATATATGTGTACTTCAGATAATAGGAACCTCATGAAAACAGTTTTTAAAAATAATAAAATTGTTTACGCCCCGAAATAAAGTGAAAACAAAACGTAAAAAGTGAAAAGAAAACAAATTGTGAATGGGCGAACACATTTTAACACCTCCATCTTTGGAGATTTTTTTTTTTTTTTCAGTCGTGAAAATGACTTCAAAATTTATAGGCATATACCTAACATCATTAAGAATGCACAAAAAAAGCATAAGGAAAAAAAATTATTTTTAGTTGCCTAAATAATTTCTGACGGGGGTCGAACCCCTTCAGGTTTCGAACCCCGAACGGGGTCCTGAACGCTCGAACGTACGGAGGTCCGCCTAGGGGCCTCCATACGTACGTTGGCGTGGGGGTGTGGTGCTAGGGCCGCATGTGTGTATGTGTGTGTGTGTGTATGTGTGTGTGTGTGTGTGTGTGTGTGTGTGTGAGAGAGAGAGAGAGAGAGAGAGAGAGAGAGAGAGAGAGAGAGAGAGA